AAAGCCCCAAAACCCTAAAGCCCCTAAACCCTAAAGCCCCTAAACCCTAAAGCCCCTAAACCCTAAACCCCCTAAACCCTAAACCCTAAACCCTAAACCCTAAAGCCCCACAGCTCTCAGACTGGAATCAACCTCGGCTCCAGCGGAATCGTCCGCGCACAGCCTCGGGCCGAGATCTGTGCCAGGACGCGTTACTATAAGGGCCTAAAGCATTACCTCTACCATTTTGGGGGCTCCTTATTGTAAGTATAGTATAATGGGTACCAGCTTAATATAAGTATAGTATAATGTGTACCAAAACCCGATTCTGATTATTAAGGCCCCTATATTAGGCCCCTGCCGAACTTCTATATTAGGTGCCTGCCGAACGTCTTGCAAGCCCGAACGTCTCTCCCAGGCAGAAGCGCCTTTGGCAGCTTCTCGAAGATGGGGAACTGGACGCCAGGGGCCCCAAGGCTTTTGGGAAAAGTTGGGGGGCCTTCAGGAGGTTTGGGTTTAGGGTTTAGGGGTTTAGGGTTTAGGGTTTATAGGGTTTAGGGGTTTAGTGATTTCAGGGGGTTGTTGCTCCAGACTTGGTTCTTCACTTTGGATCGTGTTTTCGGATTTAGGGCTTATGCTCTGCTTCTAGATTCTCGGAGCTTTCATGGAGCGGTTATGTCGCTTGTTAAGATCGTCCCCAAGGATCCTATTTAAAGATTGGTTGAGCTAAATGTGGGACTAAAGCCCTAAACCGTAAACCTTAAACCCCTAAACCCCGGAACCCTAAACCGTTTCGCATGAGGTCATTATGCTCAATCAAGACGAGGCAGCAGCTCTCTTCGGTGAGGACAGCCTTCTGGTTTAGGGTTTAGGGTTTAGGGTTGAGGCTTTGTTATTACTACCACTGTCTACAGCGTTCTGAGAGGGGCTTGGGGCCGACATATCGCGGTTCTTCGGACATTCTTCTCCCACACCCTAATAGTGGGGCCTGAATAAATTACCAATACTATTTTGAGGGGGTTCCTTATTATAGTTGTACTATAATATCTCCCAAAACCCCATTCTAATTATTCAAGCCCCTAATTTTGAACCCTATCATAGATCCCTTATAGCACCCTTTAAGGATCCCTTTAAAGGAACCCTATTCTAATTCTTAGGGCCCCTATAGTACAGGCTTTTAGGGATCTTTTCGGGCTTTCGACGCCGGACTAGGGCCTCGATTTGTTTTTTTGCTTGGGGCCTCCAGGAGGTTCTGAATAAAGGATCATGGGACTTAGTAGGTTTAGGGTTTAGGGCTTATAGGGTTAAGGGTTTTAGGGTTTAGGGTTTAGGGTTTGTAGGGTTCATACTTAAAGGATCATGGGACTTAGTAAGTAGGGTTATAACTAAGGCATCTATACCTATAACCCCAATTAGCGGACTTATAACCTTACTTACTAAGTCCCATAATCCTTTAAGTAGGCCCGATAGTAGTTCCTTTTTGTGGCTCATATTTAGGATCCTATTAGGTAAGCCCCAGAAAAGGAACTACTATGGGGCCTATGGGTAGTTTCGTTACCACCGGGTTCGGACAGGTGGGGGCTGCCTTGCACGGCTTTGCTCTGCCTTTTTGACGATTTTGTGCCAGGACATGTCCGCGAGCGACATTTGCGCGGCTCTGTCGGAGCACTGTGAACTCGCCGCCCTCTCCACGCAACAAGCAGAAAGAGGATTACCAAGATCACCCATCTTTAGATCGAAAGCGCAAGCCTCAAGAGTAGTTCACAGCGTCAAATAAGATACGCATCCCTAGTAGTAGTAGTAGTAGTAGTAGTAGTAGTAGTAGTAGTATGATTACATAAGCGACTGCACACAGAGGTCCTCACCTTGGGCTCCGCCGGCCTTTGGGTCGCCCAAGAGCGAGGGCCGCCGGAGTTTCAGCGCGTGGAGCCACTCGCAGAGGCTTCGGGCTTTTAGAAACCAAGCCCTAAACCCTAAACCCTAAAACTCTAAAACCCTAAACCCTAAACCCTAAATCCTAAACCTTAAACCCTAAACCGAACCCAATGAACCCTAAACCCAAAACCCTGGGATTTCATGGGTTCTACCTACGAATCAAGGGGACGGGCTTCTTGGAAACCAAACCCAATGAACCCAAAAACCCTAAACCCTGCGACTCTAACGGCCTATACAGTTTGATGGGGCCTACCTATTCTACCTACTAATTAAGGGGTAATGGCTGCTAAACTGTGGGTAAAGAGAGTTACAGGTAAGGTTTCTAAAGGCTGATTCAGGAACCTGGTCAAGAAGCCCTGGCCCTATAACCCCAAAGCTAGTAATATTCATACAAAGAGCTCTAATGAGGGCCCAGGGTTTCGTAATCAGGGTTTAGGGTTTCAGATTTTTTGGGTTCAGGGTTGATGAAGTTCAGGGTTGATACTGTAGAATTTGTAAGTCGGTTCTAGAATTAGCATGTTTTTTTGTAGGGCTCTGCAAGTTGGATAAGATTCTTGAGGCGTTGTGTGGCTAAGGGTGTATGGCCCTGCGGTTGTCGGAGTTTCTATCCGTCCGATTAAGTGGGATTCTTGGAGGTTTTGCCATGTAGGAATTTATGGGGAGTAGGGTGCAGGTAGGTTCAGGGCGTATGCTTTGGGATTACAAGGGCTCGTTGTCTCGATTAGGGCTGGATGTTTCCTCGTACGTGGCATGGATTTTGCTGTGTTCAGGTTGTCGAGCTCTTGTGTTTGAGTGTTGTAAGTCCTTGGCCATAAAGCCTCCAGGCGCGTTGATCCCTAAATCCCCTAAACCACCCTAAACCCTGATCCCTAACACCCTAGCTCTCTGAGTTTAAGATCCCTTCTAGGGTTCCTTCCTGGGATTTCGGGTTTAGGGATTTCGAGTTGGGGATTTCCTTAAAGATCTATACACAACGACCCCACACCGTAGCCTCTAAACGGCTCGTCGGAGGACATCCGCGGGGTTGGAGGTCCAGGGCTGGCAGGGGTGGAAGGTGGAGAATATATGATTTGTTTAGGGCTTATAGATTTTATAGGGCTTATAGGGGTTTATAGGGCTTATAGGGTTCATAGGGCTTACAGAGTTTATAGGGCTTATAGGGCTTATCGGGTTTATGGGGTTCACGGTTTAGGAAAGTTTAGGGTTTAGGACACTGAGAGCGGACGATTGGCACAGAGATTGAAACATATCCAGAGAGAGAGAGAGAGAGAGAGAGAGACCATGAATGAAGAGGAAGTAGCATGATTTGATTCACTTAAGTTAATAACTTGAACTGCACGGTTCTCCCTAAGCCTGTCAGCTGTCAGGTGGTGGATAGTACCGGGGCTGGGGACTTCTTTGCCGGCGGCTTTCTGGCGGCTTGGCTACGCCAAGAGACGCCGTGATGCAATTGGCGGGTCGAAATTGGGGTTTCGGTGCTTTGCAGCTTTTCGGTCTAAGAGTTTGAGGCATCGGGACCTCTGTGTTGAGTTTCGTAGTTTAGGACGTCATTTTGCCGAATCCGAGTCAGGTTTGGGAGGGTTTCAAGAAACGACACAGACGTCAGGCTGAGCAGGGCCGCATCGCAGACCACATCCCAATCAGATCCTGTGGTGCAGTATCCGAGTACGATGTGCTTATTTTCCCGTGAAGGGTCTTAGGCCGGACCCGGCAACCGCGGAAACTGAGGCAAGTTCATAGCCTTCCCCAGACCCTAAACCAAACCCTAAACCCTAAACCCTAAACCCTAAACCCTAAACCCTAAACCCTAAACCATAACCTGAACCCTAGACCCTCGAGACCCCGAGTCTGGAGCTCCATGATTCCTGCAAGGCTATCGGGCTTCGGGTAGTGTGATCTCAATGCCCACAAAGTGCCCCAGGCCCTAACCCTGGGGCTCCAACTACTTAGTGGCTGAGTAGGTAACCTTTAACCTTTTGGGGCTCTTATAACCGTACTATAATTCAAAAGGTTAACCTTTTTTGGGCTAGGGTACTCAGCCCCTAAGACTTTCGAGCCCAAAGTAAGTACTATTTGTATACTTGGAGCCCAAGGCCCCCAGCCCTCAAAGCCCCAAAACCCTGCAGCTCCTGAACCTTCCATCCAGTCCACAAGAGGCCTTCGAACTGCACGCCCTGGGGCTACGCTTCCGCCACGGCAGTGCTCCAGGTCTTTGGCACAGACCTTGGCCCGGAAGGAGGGGCCCTCGGAATTTCTGAGAACTGAAGCCTCAAACCCTCTTGATGACACAGGCATGTCTGCCTTAATTCTGTACCTGATGTTTAAGGTTTAGGAGGTATGGCTTGAGGGGTAATTAGTCATTACCGGGCTTATGATTGCTGTCAGCTTTTCTAGAACTATGACTGGTCATCATGAGGTTACGTACTAGTACTCGTACGTGTAGCTGAATGATAACTGGGAATGTATACTGCCTCAAGCCCTAAATCCTAAACCAGACTTGTTTTTGCTTTGGGGCTAAGCCCTAAATCCTAAACCAGAGTTGTTTGTACTTTAGGTCTTGAGGGCTGTGTGGCTTTCAAGATCCCCGGAGCTTCCAGGTTTCAGGTTTAGGGCTCTTAGTCTACTGGGAGTATGACCAAGGGTTTAGGGTTTAGGGTGTCTGGCGGTATGCACGCCAATGTAGTTAGATTGGCTTCAGGCCTTTGGGTGAATTTGCTGAGGTTCTCCAAAGCCTTTTCGGGACGATACCACTATTTTGGAACACATATTAGATCGCTATAAAGGCGTAGCACTGAGCAAACATATCCACTACAGCCAGACTCCAGTCAGGGGCATTTTGATCACCAAGCTGTTGCAAATCCGCAAGATGGTAGGCAACCGAAGTCCCAGTAGCGAACCCCAAACCGCAAAACCATCAATCCCTGCTGGTTTTTATACGCATATGAATTGCCACATCTGACATGCTTGAACCGCTACATCTACGTCTAAAATCCACTTTTGGCTGCAAGGATGGCATCGACTCCGCACGAGCTGCGCCGAAACGACGGCAAAACACTTTCCGCGTGACTTCATTCTGGGTTTCAAGAACCCCGTGTACCCACAACCTTCTTCCTTTGGGCTTCGGGGATTCTAAAGGAGATGTGTCCTGTAGCGGTCCTGTTAAGGGTTCGATCAGGGTTAAGGGGATGAGGCGGTCAAGGATTGAGGGCGGCGGGTTTGCCCTGTGAAGGTGTTCGTGTGGTACATGCATGGGTCTGTGCGAGTCGAAGAAGCAATTCTTCCGACAGTGAGGCCTTCAAAAACAAATACCAAGACGATAGGACCCTACCTGAGCCATTACCTATAGTCTCCATTGTAGTTCCCTTTTTGGTTTAACCAATTTCATTTTTAGGATCCTGTTATAATAAGGTAAACCCAAAAAGGAACTACAATGGAGACTGTAGGACTATAGGTAGCACTACAACCCGAAGCCCTAGACCCCTAGCATCCCAAGGCCCCGAACACACGAAGCCCCACGGCCTAAAACGAGATGAAAAGCCACTGAGATATAAAACCCTTTCCTCGAAGCTTAACAACCCGTTTCAACACCTTTACAGCCCCTATAAAACCGCATGAAGCCATTATAAAATCTGGCCAACCGTCTGGAAGCTCCGTAAAACCTTTATAGCCTTTGTACAACCCTAGAAAACGATCTCTAAACATCTCAAGAAATCTCTTTACAAGCCTACAAGACCCTTATAAGTCCTATAAACTGCAAAAGCCCTCTATAAACCCTCCTATAGACTGCAAAAGCCCTCTATAAGCTCCAGAACACCCTCATAACAGCCTCTTTTTGCCTGGGTCCGTGAGGATGGCAAGAGCTTCCTCGAGATTGAGTTCGAGTTCAAGGACAAAAACGACATGGGTTTAGGGTTTAGGGTTTACATTGTTGCCTTTGCCGATTGTCCGGGCTCGACAGGGGGCTTAGGCCGCGCTTAAGGCCTACCGGCCGCACACGCATGGGTCCCCAGTGGAAAAGATGAGTTTAGGGTTTAGGGAGTTGGGTGGGTTTCTAAATTAGGGCCCCTTTTGGGGTCCCCCATATAGTACGGCACCCTTATCAAAAGGACCCCAAAATGAACTACCTCATTTTGGGGTCCTTGTAAGCAGGGTCCTTCTATTGAGGGTACTATAGGGTTATGGTTCTCTCATGTTATTGTAACAAGGGCTGCAACATAAGGGTACTATAAGGGTCCATAAGGTTTCTATAAAGGCCATGCCAAAGCGGTAGTTTTTGGGTTCTATCAGTCTTGTACTCCAGTACTGCAGGGGTTCTATAAGGGTTGCAATAGAAGCGCGCCAGTGAGGTTTTCAGAGCTTGTGCACCTCAGTGTTTGGGATCAGGGGTTATGACGCATGACTTGACTTAGGGAAGTGCTACGTGCGCGTTTTTTCAACTCTCCCCTGCTTTCGCTTTTGTTGTGTCTGACCCCTGGCGAGCCGGAGGCTTGCAGATACTTAAAGGGTCTTGGGGCATACTCGCTCTTAAGCCTCAACGACTCCATCGCCCGTCCTACTCAGAAACGGAGGGATCCAAAATACAGTGTTCATGGCTCAGGCTCCCCCATTCCTAAACCCAATTTTCTGAGCCCTAAGTACATCCTATAATCCGGAAACTGCGCCCTTAAGGAAGGCACCCTGAGCACCCTAAGCCCTAAAGCCTAAACC